ACAAACTCCCAGACCTGACGGAAGAACCTCAGGAGTCCAGTTCTGCTGAAGCTGCTGCTGCTGACAGTCAACGCTTGGACGCAGACGAAAGCCAGCTGGAGCAAAAACCATCAGCAAAGTGTGCGGAGGTGATGGCGCAAGTGATCGAGGTGATTGAGGAGGCTGTGAAGGAGATCGAGCCTGTGTCTACAGAGATCACAGCAGCATCATGAGCAGGTAAGACTACAAAAGTATATCTTTTTATTTAAAGCAAATCTTTTACTAAATAGTGTTGGGCGAAAAGAAGCATGGATTCTTTTGCTGGCTTATCAAATGGTGTTTTTCTTTTTTTTAAATCAATGGGTCCTACTTTTATTAGAAAGTAGGGAGGGGATTTGCACACCAACTAGATGAAAAAGCTTTTGTTCAGGCTTTGAGTAACCAGGGTACCTTTGATATCAAAGCAGGAATGCCGCCATTGACCCCCGTCTTTGTGGGCTCAGGTCTTAAAGGGAACCGGTGTATGTGAGGGGCAGATGAACTTGTGCTGAAAGGCTGATTATGATTCCTCTGCTCTCTCCTCCTGTTTTTCTTCTATCACCGGCTCAGTATGGAGTCCAGAAACCATGTCGAAGTCAGCATTTGTAAGGTTTGATTACAAAGCTTCGAAGAACAGAAGTTGTTTATCTTTCCCCAGTTTTGGCTTCACGTACAAGTCTTATATGTCTAGGCTAGCAGATAGTTTATTTTGCAGTAATGCAGTAGAGATGCAGACTGATGTTAGCTGACATGGTTTACTTCCAAAGCCTGCACTAAGAGGAAAAAGGCGAACAGGAAAAATGTGGGCTCCAGTGAAGCATTTAATATGAAAACACTGTAAACGAGAGTAGGAGTTTATAGTGCCGTGAGACAACATTGTTGTAGATTTCTACTATTAATAATTAACTGGATCAAAAACTTAATTAAAAAAAATTGTAAGGGGAGTAGTGAGTTTTTTTTGCAGTGTATACAAATATAAAGTATTTCTTGTCATTTTTCAGTTTTAATATTGTGTGTTATTTTATGTCTTATCCTGTATTCATTTTATCTGCAGTAAACGTTTCATTTAGTATAAATCCAGTTTAGCTGAAGGTAATCGAAGGGGACTGCAGACCAAGACAGCTTCTTCTTAAAACAACTCCAAACTCTAAAACATTATAGTAGTTTAAGGGAAACCAGTTCAACATACTTTTATCATGTCTGCAGGTGATTATTTACATTAAAAAGTAGCAAGGAGGCAGTTCAGCACAAATTATCTTCCTGTTTGAAACACATACTGAGAGCAGAACATGAAAAACATCCGTGCTAATAAAAATATAGTGTCAAAATGTGACTTAAAATCATAGTTTTTTTGTACATAATTTTCTTTTTCCAGACCGTAACTCTGACTAAAACTGCTTTACATTTCATTTTTAGTATGTTTCGCACAGGAAGATCATTGGTTGCACACCACCTCCTGTTTCAAATAAACTTGTCTTGTTTGATTTCCTGTGTAAAAAAGAAAAAAAAAAAAAAACGAACACTAGTTCTTGGTGTACATAGCTGCCTACTGGAAGTGAAAAGAAAAATTATGCTTTAAAGGTCCATTAATTGTTGTCTGCACAAATTATTTTAATGTTTTTGGAAGCAGAGTTGGTTTTAAATAATAGCTGTCTGCTTTGGACTTTGGACTTAAAAGAATCTCACTTAAATTTGAGAACAGGTGGTCTCTTGTTCTAAAATTTTTTTTTTTTTTTTGCCTTGTCCACAGGTGAGGATGCAGCCCCGTTGCCTGGGAGACACACTTGTCAGGACCAGGAAGTGTGAGAGAGAAAGATGAAATGAGAGAGGATGTTCTGTGGTGACACCTATGACTGAACCTCGCCCATCCTGCTCAGAGAGACTGAGAAACAGCTCCTCCTGTCTCTCCTCCCACCTGTCCTCTGACTCTCCCCTGCAGCCCTGTCACAGCTCCATGACGGCCCACTGCACCCTCACTCACCTTAACACCCATGCATGTCCGGTCCCTCAGAAACATCCTGTTTGGCTTGTTATCACACCTTCACTGACTTTCTCATTGCCCCTGCTGCAAACTGGTGGAGAGGAGTTGAAGTGTTTTGTATGCAGGAGTGTGAATTTTTATGTGTATAGTAGCAGTGGTGTGAGAAGGTGAAAAGATGGGTGATTATTATCATGTATATTGTATTTATATCTTGATTATTCATTCATTCACAACATACGTGTCTTATTTCTACTTTTTATTTTGCCTCGTTTTGTTTATCGTAAGGACTTCACATTATGCTGTTGTGCAACAGGTTTTTTTTTTTTGCTTTGTTTTAAACTTGATGCGGACAAGTCTTAAAATTTCTCATAAACTGCATCCGGCTGAATAATGATATACATATAAAAAAAACAGTTGCATACAAGAAAATTATTTCAAGGCTTTGTAGGTAAATATAACTCAGTCATGGTACAAGTGTTATTCCACAGGCAGAGGAGCAGAGATTAAAATAACTACTAAAAATGGACCACGTGCTTGGATTGATCACATTGTGTGTTTTCACTCTGCATCCCCACTTAATATTTCATGAGATTCATGTACGTAAGACAAATTCACTGCCTGATATACTGTGAAAAGACATTGTCACACATTGTTTAATGTGATAATAAAATACTATAACACTTTAAGCTTATAATGTGGCAGAAGTATTTGCTGTGTTACAAAGAATACACACATGCCAGTTTTTAACACTGGTCCGACAAAACACAAAGCATTTCATGTGTATGGTGTTCAATGTTTCCTGATTGATTACTTCTTCACTTTCTGTGCAGAAACACAGAAAGCGCATATGTTTTTCACCATTTTCTTATGGAAAAAAAACAAACAAACAAAACCTTTACACCCTTTAATCCTTGACTTCTTGGGAGTCACGTTGAAGGTGAGCTAGTTCTGCACAACGTTGTGTTCTTCACCAAGCGCTATGGCTCAGGTTCATTAAAACTGGCACCAGGGAGGACACAAACAGAGCGAGGGATGATTTAGAAAGGCACAAACTTCATGGTACCAGGAATAAATACTAAAGCTAATTTTTTTCCGTTAATCTAAAAGCCAAATTTAGTTAGGATTAATCAGGGAGCCATGGTCTTTCCATTGATCACAGGACTAGGACACCAGTTGCATCCAATTAGCTTCCCAAAGTATCCACACAAGCTACTTTGAGTCAGGCATTGCATCTCCATTGTAAAAGGACGCCTCAAGAATAGTCCAGCAACTAGACTGTACCACCAAAGCCGCTTATTTCTGATTAACTTTAGAAGAATAGCACCAGGTCAGTCATGTAGAGGTGCTTCTATAATCAGTGAAATTTAATTTAGTAGCTTATATAAGCTAGCAGTGCTAAAAGCTCGCATTTCTTTCAGCTTTAAGTTAAAATATGTGGACATTTGTGCCACAGTTTAGGTGCCAATCTTGTGTGTAAAAGATCTATATTTGCTTTATTTTAAAAAAAAAAGAAAGGAATAATGATTAGAGAAAGCTAGAAAACTAAAGACTTGCATTTGTTGCAGAAGATCAGCATCTAGAGCCTACCCTACCCATCTTAAGCCCTCCGTTCTGTTTGTAACCCATAATAACTGTGAACCTGATAACATTTGTACAAATTGTATACCTCCTGTATGTACCTAAATAATATTGTTGTAATATTAATATTAACAAATAACCTGCAGCCATTTAGCAAAAAGTTTCATGTAGCATGGTCATAGTTGTCTTTTATATTTTCCAAGCTGTTAATAGTGAGGATTCAGAAACTTGTCTATATTTCATTCAATAAAGGTAGAGAAAATGTGTCTGGATTCTTTATTGCTTCTTGAATTAGACAAGCATTTTTACAACAATTACTCATTTGCAACTCAACTGGCAAGTTGGCAGTCACGACACAAAATCACTATTATGTAAAGACGTGTTTTTATTCTTTCTTCATGGCCAAAAAACGTTTCAAACAGATAAAATTACATTCCTGAGAACACAGAATCGTCACAGTAGATGTCAAATGGGCACCAGGAAGAGGTTTACATTGCATACTCTTTACAATAGTCCCAAACTATTTATCTAATGACCAACAGCTTGACAGTGAAGTCAAACTTCTCAACTTCCTGAGATGTTTGGCTGTTTAGAAAAAGATGGAGCACAGACATTAATTTTGAAAATGAACATGGAGAATTTCCAATGACGTGTGCATATTTCAGTGGATCATTTGTTTGGAAAATTAAGGGACAGAAGTATTGAAATTTGATCAGTTTCGAAATGAGCAAAATCACTGCCAGCTCGCAAGTGAAGGAAAAAAAATATTCAGATTCATGGTAAAATAGAAACAGCTGGTGAACTATCACTGTTCATTTTTGACGGTTTCCTTCTCTTTCAACCTGAGCGGACAGTAAAAGAAAACAGCGCCATCTAACGACAGACTGCGTGAACTGCATCACATTTCAATCCTGCAAACTTTAGATTTCTAGCATTAGAATAGGGGATAAAGAAATTATCAAAGCTATTACAACGAAAATTACCACATTAAGTATTATAATTAAACATTATTCAAGCAGGACATTTAAAATTATTTCCTGTTAATTAAACATGTCTTTGTGTGTTTTAATTTACACATACATTTCACCAGTATCACTGAGAGTTGCTGAATCAAAGAGAAGGAAAATAGCTCTCTTTTTTTAAGAAATTTCAATATATATATATATATATATATATATATATATATATAGAGAGAGAGAGAGAGAGAGAATTAATTATTTTAATATGAAACATTGTAATATGAATGAATGGGAAGCTCAAAGCCAGTCTAGCTACTGGAGTAAAGATCAAATTTTGCAGAAATTTATAATATAAAGAAAAAAAAAGGTACAATATTTTAAGTAAGAGGGAAAAATTAACTCTTTGGCAGCTTTAGATTATCTGCATACATATGAAATAATGTTAAAAAATTATACCCAATATATTAATGTGAGCTTCTCATTTATTCAACATGTATAAAAAAAACTCTAATTCTAGTCATCAGTAGCACAAGAACTGATATGGAAGATCAATAAAACACATTTTATATTCCAACAAAACATGTGTAAACCACCTTGTTCTTTGAGATGTGACTTCCAGTCCAGATAGCTGAAATAATCAGGCCTCTACAAAGTTTGTCTAAAAGTTGCAACCTTCTATCACACTTTTATTCTCGTATGGGCAGAAACTAAAAACATACAAACACAAAAAACAAAAAAAAAACAAAAAAAAAAACGTTAAAATATAGAAGAAACTATTTCCCTTTTAGCACAACAAATATCCTTTAGCACACATTTGGCAAGACTTTGAAAAACCTCCTTAACAATTCAACACAAGTTTATTCAATATCCTTCACATGTTAAGATTTTGGAAGCGATCAGTCCACTAGTCATCTTACATCTTTTCAAATATATTGTCATTTTATGAATATAGCGCTGTGTATAAAATTAGAAAAACATCAAATAAACTTTAAAAGGGATCCAGAAATAGATTCAAATTAATTATATGAAAACACACATGATTTACAATATTCTACAGCCTCAGATTGAGGGTCTGGATGGAACATGTTGCTACAGTGTTAGTAACCAAAGAGTTATATAATACATAACAAGGCTGGCAAATGTGAGGAAAACAAACCAAAGTGGCATAAATTTAGACAACGCGAGCCTGTTTCTCCGTCCGGTGTGACAAGGAATAAAAGACAGGAGCGGTAATCCCACTAAGACACCACTAAACACAGAGGCATACACACACGTAGCCGTGTGCTGGGGAAGATGCGGTGAATGGTCGTTGCGTCACATAAACATATTTATTCTGTTCAGCCGACATCAGAGGATGGAAGACGGACACTGAGAGTCGGTTCAAATACAGCGAGCACAGATTGTCTCTGGTCTGTGTGCTTGCAGCTGCCAGTTTATGTCTAGATTTCTGCCCATGTGGAAATTCCCTGCAGTAGCAGAGGAGTTATCAGCGTTTTGCAACTCTTGATGTCTAACAACTCTAGACGGCCTCAGCTTCCTCTTCCTATGTCAAAAAGCGCAGAAAGCTGCACGCAAAGAGTTTATTACAGCATAACAAATCAGTGTTTTATTGTTGGTTAACCCAAAGCCTTTCAGTGAAATGTGTGTGTGTGTAATTTTTATGATTGTATCGAGAGAAATCTTTATAATTAGCACTCTTAGGGTCTACACATTTAAAGCACTTTATCATGAAATAAAGGTTAAGAATATCTAGCAAACATACCCTGACAAATTTTTCTTTAGCTTACCTATTTTAACCATAATTTAGATGGCAAACATGTTAAACAGTTCGGCTGCTATTCTACGAGGATCTCCTCAGTCTTTATCGGTTCTGGTGGGGTGCCAGAGTTGGACAAATCAGAGCCTTCATCTTTGGAGACATCTTCTTGCTGCAGCAGCATGCCTGCACCTGCGCTTCCCGGCAGTCCTGCTAATCCCCCTTGGGAGAAGCACAGGTGTTTGATCACCTCAGCGGGGCTGGAGAAGGTCGTCGCACAAATGTTGCATTTGTAAGGCTTCGAGGAGCCCAAGAACATGGCCTCCATCTGGTTGCTGTCTTCCCCTGCAGCGCAGAGCTCCATGCTCTGCCGGTCCACCATGGTGTAGGTGTCGGCGCCCTGGTTCAGGCAGACATGGCGGGCGGCTTGGTTGGCACGGCAAAAGCTCTTCCCGCACGCGCTGCACTTGAAGGGCTTCCCCGTGTGGATGTACATGTGCTCGCGCCAGTGGCTCTTCTGAATGAACTTGCGTCCGCACGTGGAGCACTCGTACTTCCTGCGCTTCACTTCGCGGTCCAGGTCGGCGTTCTCCAGGTTGTCGATGTCCGCGATGTCCGACGGAGGCGGGGTGTCTGCCTGGGAGCTCAACCCTCCCACCCCCCACGTGGAGGTGGACACCTCTGCTTGGGGAGAGTCAGAGTTGGTGCCTGAGACGGGAGTTTGTTCGTTGTCGCTGATGATCTCCACAGCTGTGGCCGAGGCGCTCGAGCCGGCCTTGATTCCTTTAGAAGCCCCCTCTGCCAACATGCTGTTCTCTCTGATCACAGCGGGCGACGGCGGCGCCTTGCTGGGCTCCGCCGCCGCCTGCTGGAGAGCCTGTGTGTGGTGCAGGAGATGTTCTCTCAGCAGACTTCTCTGGGTGAATCTGCTCTTGCAGAGGTGGCACGAGTAATACTTCCTGAAGGAGGAACTTCTCTTCATTATGCTCGGCTTTACATGGAGGATCGCAGTGGCGGAGGAACCATCTGCGCTCAGTACGTCCATTGCCCCCTCCTCACCGGATGCCTTCGCGCTGCTGGTTGAGGCCTCGATATCAGGGGGCGATGCAGCTTGCTTGGACAATAGGGCGTTTGTGAACGACGCCGTGGCGGGTGAGGACACTTTCCCCTCCGAGTTCAGTTGCTCCAAGTCAAACGGTGAGGAGAGCTGTCGACGAGCCGGTACTCTGGCTGACAGCGCCACCTGCTGGTCGGATATCTGTATGCCGTAGAGCGAGGTGGAGAGGTTGATGCTCTGATCGGGGTGGGAATACACCGACTGGCTGGCCTCCTGCAGGAGCGGATACGCGTGGAGGAATCTGACTCCCTGCTCGAGACGCGCCGGGTCTATCAGCTGGGGGGCGAGCTTGCCTGTGTACATCAGGTTGAGGAGATAGCTGAAGATATCTGGCTGGATGTCAGCGGCCTTCAGACGCACGCAGTCACTGAAACCAAACACATTACAGTGAATAGTGGGAAAGGATTAGAGGGTTTTAACTTAGGGTTGCGCCGACTCAAAAATCTGGGCTGTTATCGATATATTTTATTACTATTGTCGTTGTTGCCAATATCCATTATTATAAATACTTCATGTCCCTCTGTCATTTCGTTTCATCTAATCTTTATTTCACTTGGAAAATCCCCGGGAGATTAAAAATGTCTTTTGCAAGAGAATCCTGAGACTGACAGCGGCACACAGACGCCTTTTGACTCCAGCACTGCTCCTCTGCTTCGATTAAACTCCCCTTAATCCTGCTCTGCATCACTTTCACATGACCGATATGGTCCCTTCTCCCTCCTGAAACAAATGGCAACAAGATGGAAATAAACCTTGATTATTAATATTGGCCCAATTTTACTTATCAGAACGAAAATTGACTAATATCGACCGATACTGATGTCAGTGCCGATATATCGTGCATCCCTGTTTTAAATGAAATCATTTTGTCCTAACTCAACAAAAAAAATTAAGTAGTTTTAGCGGAATTTTGTGATTAAAAAAGTGTGGTGTGTATTCAGGTCCTTTTTAGCCTGACATCCCTAAATAAAATATAAAATAAATGCAACCAATTCCTTCACAAGTCAACTTATAAGGTTTTAAAAAAAAAAACAGTCCAGAGCAGGTGGTTTTACAAACAGCTGACTCAGGCCAGGGTGCATCAACTTCTGTTTTCTATCTTTATACACACAGAGAAAGACCCATTTATTCCTACCTGTCCTGGTGAATAAAGAGCATTCTGAAGTAGTTGGAGAAGGCAGCGAGGACCGCTTTGTGGGCTTTGAAGAAGACGTCTCCAATAGCCACAGTGCAGTCGCACAGGAAGCCAAATTCCCTCTGAGCGTTAAGCTGTTGCAGCAGGATAAGACCATGGTTGGCCAACTCCATTCTTCAACCTGCACAAACACACACAGACACACACAAGAAGCCATAAGTTTCCCGTCAAGCAGCAGACGAGAGGTTGTTGTGACCACAAAGGATCAAGCTGTCAGTGATGATCTAACAACCTCACAAAGGGGAACGTAGCACAGCTGTAAAGAATCACTTAGAGATAATGGAGGCTATATATCTACTCTGTATCAAACAGCAGTAACAGTGAGGAACAAAAGGGGTTTGGTCAAACAAAACACCTTTGTTTGAATTAGTTCATTTAACTGTGAATTCCAGATATCTTTAACCAACAACCTGACTCCTTTATAGTACCATAAATTTTATGCACACGAGTCTTTAACTGACTTCTACTGATAGTCATGAGAATAAAATTGTCATATAAACCAAAAAAAACAAAAAAACAGTAGAGATCAAGCATGGGTCAGTCAAAGATTGTCACAGTATGATGAACTTCAGTAAAATACCAAAATATCACCATATTTAAATACAAAATAGAAAACCACAAAGTATAAAATTATCTAATCGCTTAGGGAGCATTAGCTTTATTTAAAAGCAAAATGAATCAGGTACTTCTACCTATAACATATTATATACATTTTTAAAGATAAAATGATAATGTTAAATAGATGTATTATTTGATGCATAACAATAAAGAAAAACTATGCTAAACTGATTTGTAGTTTTCCATTGCTTAATGTGTTTATAGGCTGGCTGTCTTTCGGCCAGCTGATATGCAGTGCACAGCAACAAGTAGGAAAAGGGGTGCATTCTTTGGACTCTCACTAAGATGATTAAGATAATTTTTTAAAACCTCGATACTTGATACTAGTAATCAAGCTACAATTAAGACTAATAAGTTCCTTCTGGTGAAAGAGAGATTATCATTAGCTGTGTGACACAAAACATTTAGGAAGAAGTTTAATTAAAAGAAAAATGTGTATGATTAAAAATATAATCTACACAGCTTTGACCATAAACAAACTTTAGAAATTCAACTGAATTTACTTTGATGAAGCACCAATCACTCAAAGTCAGCCTTAAGAGGCATTTCAGAGGTGCCTGCATTCTGCTGACCAATGAGATGAGTTTTGCTGACCCCAAAGGTCACCAAAGGACCCAGAGGGCTCCAGGCCATCACATGATCAGGGTTATGGGTGTCGACACACATTCCAAGGCAGAGCTGGTTCTACCCCCTTCAAGAGAAGTATGAAAACAGCCTATGGGAAGGGTCACTCTCCTTCCACTGACACTTTCTCCCTAACAGCACAAATAAAACGTCTGGAGACAGACAGCACCAGATACTTCATCGGTGTCGAGTCTTCAAAACGATCAGAAATCTGCCGCAAACCTTCAATCCAAAAAAACCATAAGGTACCATCCACCTGAAAACTTGTGGATTTCCACAGCAACACACACTAAGAAGCTAAAAACTACTGTTCTACTTTTGCTCATTATGAATGTTCCTTCAGGTATATTTAAGCTTGATTAGACAAAAGCATTTAAAGCTTAAAAAAAAAAAACTGAAGAAATTACAGATTCTTGATACCATTTGACGCTGTGGTTTATGTTTTAAACTGAACAGCTTAGTAAAAAGATGTATCTATAATAACGTTGACGCAAATATTTTGATCTGTTAGTGCAGACTGACTGAAATCTGATATGATTACTCATCTGCTTAGGGGAGACAACAGAAACCACTTTCAGCAGGTGCAGAAAGCATTTAGCTGGTGGCCCAAGGAGACCACCAGCTAAATACGTGTTGTACAGTACAAATGTTTAAAACGCTGTTTTCACACGTCCTTCTAAACGCTCTGCCTTCAAACCAAACCTTTGTAGAGAATGAAATAAACAGCATGCATAAGTTATTTTGGCTTCACAAGACGATAGTAGATATTAATTCGATTACATCACTGATTTTTCCATTGCTTAGTTTTCTATGGTAGGTGCTTGGTTAGTGTGTCATTTTTAATTATAGTTTGTGTAAAGGTCACAAAGTTTTCTCCTAAAATAAAGATCATATTTCAGTAGCAAGTTGCTATTGCACCAAACAGTACCTCCTGGTTTAAATGACAATCACACTTTGCAGCAATTGAGATTAATCATATCTTAAATAACATTAAATATTAATTTCAAGGTTCTGTCTTAGCACCAGAATGGAGAAAGAAAAGCTTTGATCAGGCACTTAGTTAAAAAGTCGTCCACAGATCTACAGCGGATCTAAGGGCTAAATGATAAAATTACAGACAAATATTGTTTTTCTCATTTGTTATTGCAGAAAGCTTTTGGTCATCTTCTAATTTCTAACTGCAGTATCAAAACAGAAACCACAATCAAAAATGAAATAATGGCTCCGCCATTTGAACAACACCTCGCAAAAAATATGTCTACCTTTATAACATATTCATATTTGGTTGCGTTAAAACCACAAAAAGGCAGTTTATAATTTTGCAATGGCAGGAAACTGATACATGGCTTTCACATTTTTAGCAAAAATAAAAATGATTGTGAAACACGGCAGTGGCAGCATCATGCTGTGAATGTGCTTTTTTTCCCCAAAGGGACAGAGAAGTTGGTAAGAGTTGATGGGAAAATTAACACTGGGAGAAATCCTGTTAGAGAATGAAATAAAGTTGAGGCAGGGAAGAGGATTCCAGTGTGACAACATTTCACATTCATTGGGTCTCAGTTCTAGCTGAGCAAAATATTTTTGCCTTTTATTTTGCAGGGCTGTTTACTAATTCTAAAAGGTATTTTTGGGGTTATATTTCATTGTTTTATGGTAGTCTATTACTGAATATTCAGATCAAAGTATATTCATGAGTTAGAACGACCAGACATAAATCAAACTGAGGATCTGTGATACAACTTAAAAATGACTCTTCACAGATATTCCTCATATGACCTAATCGAATCAAGCTACATTTCAAAGAATATTAAAAATATTTCCGTGATGTCTATACCTGCAAATAACTAATTGAATTATCTTCAGATTTCTGGAAATTGTACCAATTTGTATGTGATCTTTAGTGGACCGATTGGTGCATATTTACATATTATCACATTAGCAGAAAATTTTTGCTTTTGCTCTGCCTATAAGCACTTGATACAGTCTAACATTTACAGAAAAATTAAACAAGTCCATGGCAGACTGTAGGTTAAATGAAAAAATTAACAATAACACTTATACAGCATCCATCCATTCCATATCCCTGCATACCACCAGCAGTCTTTGTCAGAAACTGGTACACCTTGGATTGGTTTGCCAGTGTATCATGACACACATCAAAGGCGAACACGACAAACATCTCTTCACAAACAACCCTAAGGGCAACCTATGAAGCTGGGCTGCCCACAGAGAGACCACGCATTAATGGTTGGGAATCGCACCCAGGGAACTTTGTCTGTTCAGAGCAACAGTGCTAACAAGAAAAATTACAACAATACATATATAGTAATACATGAAAAAATAAACAAGCATAAGTTTAAATTTATTCCACATAAAAGGGAAAATTGTTAGTCATTACTGACTTAACATAGAAGGTTTCTGAAGTCGTGACATATTCATTTTGGGCATATCTGAAACAATTTGTCTAGAAAATAACCAGTATCTTGGGGATTGCTATATGCGCCTGATTACATAATTTATTAGGACTACTGCAGAGTTGCCTTAAATGACACTAGTTTAAATCACATGGTGTAATAAGCTGCCACAATGCCATGTCTTTGCCAACTTGTTTGTAAAGATCTAGCACCGCCCCTGCTGTGATGTAGACACGTGGAACTGTCGCTTCCGTAGTGAGACGTTCGGTTACTCTGAAAATACACAGTGAACCGCCTGAGAGGAAAGCGTGTGAGAAAGGTAAACATGACGCAGGAATAAAACAGTTCTATCTGGTAAACAAAATATATCAGCAAAATCACACGAAGAATAATCGTGGGGAAGCACATTGAAACAAGAGGACTCCGTCGGTCTCTCGTGGTTGCTAGCGCGAGAAAACGGACACACATGCACGAACACACGCGCGCGCTCGTAGGAACAGACAGCGCGAGACGCAAGGGGGATGGGGCTGGTCACGAACGCGTTTCTTTTAACTTCCCCGTGACAATTACAGTTAGCCAGAAACAAACCGAACCGCAAAAATAACGAACCAGTGTTAGCTAAACGAACACATATGAATGTACTGCTGGGCAACCGTACTTGCGCTCTGCTGAAATCACCGGAGTTCCTCCGTATCGCCCTTGTTTGTTTGCTACCGGAGACCCAGCCGTCCGTCCTCTCTGCGCTCGCTGCAGCTTCAACTGTGTTCCTTGTAAACGCAGCATTCGTTGGCGGCGGAGGGTCGTCCGTCGGTGTTTTCCGGTTAGGGGTTTTACGTTACAATCACATGACTTGCGAGTGGGGAGAAAGAAGAAAACAGTCAGAGAGAGAGAGTAGGGAGAGATGAGGGAAAAAAGCAGCCGTTGTAAAAATCCGTTGAAGGGGCGGTTGAGTTAACGTTAATTTCCCGCACTGTGTAACCGTCGTGGCACCAAGCCCTGCTAACCATTTTTTCTGTTTCTTTCTCTGACAGCCGGCGAGATCCAACCGCTACAGTCACAGCGTATAGTGGTAACAGCGCCTCAATATAACAATAGAGCGGTGGTAGAATTAATATGTCCCAGCTATATCAGATCGTTTTTAAAATTTACATTACAAACTCACTTTTGTCTATATATCATTTATCTATGAATCTATTAAACAAAAATATTAACAGTTATGAAGTTAGGTAAACCAGATAACAGCTTTGATATTTTAGTATTTTCTTCTATACTCAGTTTTTATGTTTTTAAATAGCAAAATCAGCATATGTCGTGTCTCAGATTTAAATGTTTTCTACAGGTATAAAAATATTGCCTGATATTTAGGATTACAGAGCGTAAATACTTATTTTAAGTTTTAATAGATGGTTAAAGTCCCCTAAATAATAAAAAGTTACAAAACTATTACTAGACATGTACCTGTCCAGGTTTTCCTGTCTTTGGGATCTAACTTGCTTGTTCAAAATGTGACCAATTCCGATGTTATTTAATAATGAATAAACCACTAACTCTAAATACCTACAAGTTGTTGATTCTGTTTAACCTTTTTACTACAATCCCATCAGGGCAAATGGAATTTGGCATGCATTTTTGTTGTGATTTCTAAACTGTTATTGCACAGTCATAAACACAGTAATATTAAGTAAATGTGAGAAACTGAAAACTGAAGTTGTTTCAAAAAAAGCAGCAGAACTCATCAATCATTGCGGTTTTTTTTTCAACCATGACTGTTTATTTATAAAGCACTTTAAAAACAGCAAGACTGACATAGTTGCTGTAAAAAATAATTAAAAGACAAACAAATGTTAATGAATAAAACTTGACACATAACAAAGACACATAAAATAAATACATCATATGTAATAAGTAAAAAAAAGCACAAAAGCAACAGAGAGTAAATAAAAACCAGTCACAATTTTACAGTTCTACTATGTATAATTTTGGCCGTAAAAGGGTTAAAGAGAAACATTTTAAGTCATTTACCCTCTAGTTAAAAAACTAAATGTGAAACTTTTTTTAAAGTAAAATATGTAATAAGGTAAAATATACATTATTAAAAATAACACACAACTAACCCTATGTAAGAACACATCTAAAAGAGGGTATGATGACATAACAAATGAGTACAATTCTTTCACATCCATTTACTTTATTCTAAATTCTAATTTATTTTTATTAGTTTGTTTTTTTTACTTTCAAATGATTCTACAATGTGTTTCCATTGTGAAGTTTGTAAAAGATATGAAACATTACTACATATCAATCAAAATCACAGAAAGTATATGAATATTGATTTGAGCGTTGTTGGTAGTTTTAGTAAATGTGATTTAAAAAGCTTAATTAATACAGACATGGTGATTTATTACAAGATGTTCATGTTTCAACATAATCCAAAAATAACTCACACTAATGTGAAAATAGGCAGTGAATATTGAACAATAAAGATACTGACTGCTAAAAACAGTGAAATTACTAACTATGTGGAAAATTCACCTTTTCACTGCAACAGGTTTCAGTAGAGGAAAGGAGTGTCAAAGAACAGAACTTCAGCTAAACCACACATGTTGCCTATTCTGAGGCACAGGAAGTGTAGGAGGACCTTCTCACAACTGCACTTTGGATTTGTGTCAATATTTTGTCATCAGATGTTGTCATCAGTAAGTTGGTTGAGGTTGTCACAATGTAAACAGCCTTTTTTTCCCCCCAGACCTTTAAAGTATTTCTACTTAATAGGAAAAGAACCAGACTAAGCAAGTTCTAGCTTAGTAAAAATGCATGCACTGCAGGAGGAGGTTGGGCGGAGACTCTATGTAAATGGACATGGGTGATACAGGAGGGGGGAGAAAGTCTGTGAAGCAGAACTCATAAGGATCTTTCCAGCTTCTACCCTGCTAATATAAAAAGAGGCAAACAATATCATGCATAGGGCCCTAAAATAAAGTACTATACACGTGTTACAAGCAAAACATTGACAGAGGCCACTAGTGGAGGAGTAGTAGGGGGAAAAGACAGATGAACAAAAGCATGTTTAGTTTGCTGAAAGACCCACAGCAGGGGCTCATTGAAAGAAGCAGATAAACTGTTGTCTATCTTATCACTGGGCCACCTTTCTGTTTTGTCACAAAGGTGAATACATTGTAATCACTAGTTTTAGTTTTGCACGTCTTTGCTCATTCGGCACCTCTTCAATAATTTGTGCTGTTTCTCAGAACAGCTTTTTCTGAAGAGATCCTGACTGGACCTTCACATGACTATCCCATCTCTGATCTCCGTTAAACTGATTTGGCTTGCAGTAATCGATTTTTAAATCAACAACATATTCTGCAATAAATACTTTTAATGCCACATTTGTGCCAGTGCACAGTTTTCCAGACAGCAAAACCAGCAGGCCTGGTGCATCTGTGCTGAGCTGAAAGCGGCCCGCTTAAACAGGGCTTTTTAACGTGTGCTGCTGCCCTCCCCCTCGTCCTTGGCCTGTTTTAAAACCGGAGTGGTGAGTCACTCCTCTCTCGGTTTAGAAAAACAGATCCGGCCAGGCAGGGCCCCGGCGGGGGGATGGGAGGCCCGTGGTGGATGAACACCGGAGGTGGACGCAGCTGGACTCCTGCTTTCAGGGACCCCAGCATCCTGACGACGGGCCTGCTTGTTCCTATAGTGATCTGAGAGAGGGGGAAAAAAACACGGCCAGGATTAATGGATAGATCTTTGCAGCCTGTAAAATGTGACTGTGGCCAATCACTTGGGTATGTCCTTCAAACTTGGAGGAAGCCCTATCCTGTATCCAGACCTTCAATCCCTCATATGACCTCTTGGCTTAATGCTCTCCCAAGTCTCTATTTTACAGGTTAGGTGTTTTATATCACAACAGGCAGTACAGCACATTTACATTTCTCTTTCAAGTTCCACCAACTCAGTTAAACACAGAATTACAAGCTAAGATAACTGAATTCACATGTGACATTAACTATATTCTGTCTCTCTTACACAATCATATATTATGCTATTAATATTTAATTGGACTGCTTAACTGAAACTAACTTAAGAATAATTTATTTCCCACTAGATAGCCTCTTAAACCCTCCTATTTTCCCGCCAAAGAGCCCTGGGGAGTGGGGGGTTGTGCTTGGGGGTAGCGTGGGGGGCCCTCTCCCCTTGTTCTTTTTAGAGTTTAACGGCAGTTGGCATCCATTAATTTGACCCCAGGGGGGTTCGAATTCTGGCCTGTTCTGAAAGGGCGAATCAATATCTCCATGACAACTGTCGCTCCAGGCAACCCAGGATGCTCTGGCTGCGTCCGGAAACAACAAACTTGACATGCGCAGTGCGGTAACAATTCCAAAAAGAGACATCCCGAGAGCGAACACATTTTAAAAGAATAACTAAAATCCTGTTATGAACGTGAAGGCAACGTCGTCTTTGAAGAAGTGTTGAAGTTGCAGTCTATTTTTTAGCCGCTAGATGGCAGCATCACAACTAACTCAAAACAAACGTAACACTACGACTCTACAGCAATATAAACATATCAGATTCTTCTTTTTAAAAAATCTGAAGAGAATGATGCTTAGCGTTGTTACTGGTTATGTCTAAAAGACAAGCAAAAAACTTGTTCACAAGTTTCAGTTGGTTACTTTGGCAATGTCCGTGTAAGTGTTGTCAATAAAGTTTACATTTGAATTGCTTACCTCTGCAACAACAATGGCGGCGGGTCAAATTGGCTACGGAGTTCCTCCTTCACTGTCTGCCAAAGTGACGGGGTATGTTGATGGCTAATTGAATGACTTTCTCGTGTGTTTCACAATGTGGGAAAATATAATGATGTATTTAACCAATAGTCATATGATAGCAGAGTCCCAGGCTGTACCGGTGGCTCAATGCTAACACATATCTTGTTTGAGCTACTCCGTGTCTGCGTTTATAGATGAGCATCACATTTAATTAATTCAACTTCAGTATTGGAGATTTGACTTATTATATTAAGTATAAGTATTAATATACTACCAAATAATTAGCCAATTTAATTGTTACCGTCATCTGATGCCAAGGGTAGTTTCAAGACTGCTGGACACCATGTAAGGCAGTCTTGCCCCACAAATTTCACATTTTGAAGAAAGGTTTTACAAATAAAAACAGTTTATTAGTATTCCAACAGTTTGGGACTATTCTGTCCATGTTTAGCACTTTTAAGTGGTATGCTCTCAAGCTGTATCCCTTGTAACCTATTAATTGCACTTTTTTTCAGTTATCACAAATTACAAAACGGTTCAATGAATTGAAAACTGTTTTATAGAATGTCTCTGTATAAAATAATTCTGTCTAGGTTTTACTTGTCTCTGTATTGTGATCTTCAGGCTGGACTGCATGTAAGGTGATTAAGAAGCCCAGAAATATTGTTAAAATCTTTTGGGGCTTCTACAGTTAAATATAGATTTCAAGAACTGAAATTGATTTATAGTCTTACATTAGTCTAGATTAGAAAAAAATGTGTCCAATTTCGATTAAGTGTTGTGGATTAGAGGAGAGTAAATGTAGATGAATGGCTCTTCATTCAGCACCTAATTCTGTGAGTAACTTGTCTTTTTTTTCTTTAGGTCATTTGCTTACTTGACTATAAGAGACAGAATGCCAACCATTTTGACTAAAGCTATAGACACCATACATCGTAACAAAAACAAGTTTTTTGAGGAACATGGTGAGGTAAGAGATGTTTTTGTTCAGTTCATTTTCAATGTTTAACAGGGGTTGTTTTAGAAGTTTATTCTCCTTTGAAAAGGAGGGGATCAGTGCGGAGAAACAAGCAATATCTCTACTGTCTAAGCTGAGGAATGAGCTACAAACCGATAAGCCATTCCTGGAATTGATGGACGGCTTGTCAGACACAGAGTCCTGGAACCAGTACATGCAGAGACAGCAGAGCCAGCTGGGTGACCAGGAGCTTGTTAGCTGGTTCAAGTTGCCCTGGTTGTATGTGGAGTGCTACATGTACAGGAGAATACAAGAGGCAATCTGGCTGAAGTGAGGAGGATTTTCCTTTTTTTTTTTTTTTTTTTTTTTTACATAAGTCTTCTGATCCAAAACGTTGACGTTAGATATGTTCGACAAGCTTCTTTGTCATTAAAGAAGTGTATTTTTAACAAGGTTTTATTTGGAATGGGTATTTTCCCTTGAGACTAAAACCATGTATACACCTTTTTGTTGTGCATTTAGCTATATTTTATTTTATTTTGAAGTAAATTTTCTTTTGATTGTTGTTGTGTTTTTTTTTTTTTTCAGTCCTCCAATAAACAACTTTGACGTCTTTAACGAGGGAAAGACCCAAAGTTTTTTTGAGTCTCAGCAGGCTGTGATGGCTTTGTGTACTTACCTGGGAGATGTTCAGAAGAGCATGGAGAAGCTATCAGAGAACCAGCTGTCTGAACATTTCAACAAACTGCTCCAGGTCAGTATTTTTAACAGTTAGTATCAAGTGCTCTGCAGAGTAAGAGGAATTGATTTAACAGAAGAATGAGTAATATTAGAATATGTAAATGTATGATTATTAAATATTTCGGAAAACGAATGACCAAAAAATAAATGTAACGGTCACCCAGCTTTGAATTAAAACTGCATCTTAACTCAACAAAATATTCTAAATGTGAAGCATATCACTATTTTTTTACACTATTTTATAAATCATTTTAAAATGAAGAAATCTTTTATAACATTAACCTGGTTGTGTTGTTAGAATAGATAAATGTAATAGATCTGTACGGTATTTAGGATATACTGGTAACATAAATACCGTATATAGAAGAGGGGTTTTTTCCCCTACAAAACCCCACTTTTTTTTATCTGGTAAAAATAATGTAACATTGACAAAGAATCACAACAATGAGTGAGAAGAAAAAGGATCACATGGATTTATGGCTTTCTGTTTGACTTCCTCTAGGTTTCTCTCTGGGGGAACAAGTGTGATCTTTCCATCTCTGCTGGTCAAGAGAACTCCCAGAAGGCTAGTCCAATAGATTCCCTCCCCAGCTTACAGTCTTTCATCTTGGTGAATGACTCCAACATGGTATGGTTGACTCTTACTTCGTCAAGAAGGCCGGAGGGGTCAGGGCAAAAAACTGCAGACAGAGTTGACATTGTGCTAGACAATGCTGGCTTTGAGCTGGTCACTGACTTAGTCTTAGCAGATTTTCTGGTGTCTTCGGGCCTCGTGCGTCACATTCATTTTCACGGCAAATGCTTTCCGTGGTTCGTCTCTGATGTCACAGCTAACGACTTCCAGTGGACCATCCGGCAGACCATGGCAGCCAATCATAAGTGGATGAGTAAGAGTGGCTACCAGTGGCAGAGCTATCTCAATGAGGGTATTTGGAGCTATCACGACCATCCTTTCTGGACGCAGCCCCACGAGTTCTGCGACATGGCAGCTGATGCGCCCGACCTGTACGCAACCCTGCAGGAAGCAAACCTGGTGCTATTTAAAGGCGATCTCAACTACAGGAAGCTGACTGGGGACAGGGAATGGGGCCACACGGTGGATTTCTGTACTGCGCTGAGAGGTTTTGAGCCTGCACCGCTATGCAGTTTGAGAACCCTCAAAGCCAATGTGCAGGTCGGTCTGCAGCCGGGACAGGGGGAGAAGCTGAGCACCCAAGACCCATCATGGATGACCAATGGGAAGTACGCTGTTATTCAATTCCACGGCCCAAAGTTGGAGTAGTAAGCATGACCTCAGGATTTGACTGGGACGACTGGACTTTATCAGATTTTACTGTAAGAAAGCATCAAAATTAGGTGCTGCCATTAAGCTATAACGAGACAAAGTTATCAAAGGTTCTTTTTAAGGACTTCAAACTTATTCACGAAATGCACAATAACAGACTGTATATATCAATGCCATCTAATATGTAAAATGTCATAACTTTTAAACAAATTATAAGTTGAACTACAGCTCCCAATGGTTGTACATTTGTCTACATCGCTAATATCTCACTTTCGGTTTACATTGCAGATAACTTGTGTATCTTACACTTCGAATTAAGTCAAAATGTTTACAGTTTATGCAGAATAGAATAGAAAACCTAAAATTATATTTTGGGTTTATTAAATCTAACCTTAAAGCTGCAACGTTGGTGGTATTAAAATGGTTATTTGTGATTTTTCTTTTTAATTCATCACAAATTGCAAAACAAGAAAATCATTTAACTGATCTAGCACTGTGGAAGGTTTGTTTCCTCAGTTGAATAAATGTAGATGGTAATAAAAGCGGGTATAGGGACGATGTAGGAGTGAGATGACTTTAATGTGCTGCTTCTGTTTTGGAGGGAAAAAAACAAATACTCTTTACTAATTGACAAAAATGAATGATCTTGGCTTGAAACTCTGGTAGAGAGCAGAATTAATCTATGCATTACGACAGCTTTTACAACTTCCAAACAACAAGTCAACCGCAGACCATCAAACTCCAACTGCAGTGTTTGGAAATGCTGATAATTTTAACCCTGATTCAACAGAACACAAAGCTTGAAGAAAGTTTGGTTTTTCCTTCCAGTTTACAGAATATTTTGCCAAATGTCTTTGAGGTCATGGAGATTTTTTTTTATCTAATGTGCTGATGTTGATCTGGATTATATTGTGACCTCCTGGATGATTTGTCGATGTACTCTTGGAGTAATTTTGGTAAGTCTGCACTTTCTGAAACATTTAAGTCAATCACCTGGTTCCACTGATCTGACAGTTGGGAGGGGTGAACAAAATGAACTTAATTTTTTCCCCAATGTGTTGTGATCCTTATTGCAATAAAGATATGTGATCAGGATTTAAAAAGTCACTGTATTATTTTTATTGGCAATTACTGATGGGCTTCATCACAGCATATAAGATATTAAAACACTATTATCCAATATGTGACTGTAGTTCACCATGCTGAGTAGTGAAGATTTAGTGTTAAAAATAAAGTGCACTTTAATTGCATTTTTTCATATTTTCAAATAATTATGTACTGATGCTCTGATGGAACTAACATAAAAAAATAACCGCGATCCTGACCGTAATGTTTGCTATTATGGTGGGTTCTTATAATAATGAAAAATTTCCCAATAATGATTCAGTAATAGCTCTATTTGCAGTAATCTGAGCTGGATGTAGCTAAGGAAATTGACTTCAGTTTTCAAAAAATAAAATGTGGTTAATCATGACTTTAAAAGGGGTGCTATTCATTTTCCACATAGGGCCAGGTTAGTTTGTATAGTCATCTTTTAAAAATGTTTTTTTTTTGTATTCACTTTAGTGAGAGAATAAAATGTGTCTAATGATCTGAGACATATCTACAGCATTTTTGCGACAGTTATTTGAAGGGGGGGCAATACTTTCTCACCCCACTGTTTGAATCGATGCAGTTCACATTCAATATTGAGTGTCACATCAGTTTGTTGCTCACCTGTTGACCTTTTACATGGCTGGGTTCAGGTTGGAGACCACTTGACAAAACCGCCGTAAGTTGCTACTAAAATGTGCATCACGATTGATATTCTTTAAAAGATAAAAGGTCTGCTTTGTCAGTGAGACCTTAGATGAAAATAAGTTCAATTACTGCAAGAAGTCACTTATCTTTGTGCCTTTTAGGTCGTTTATTTCCCACCCTTTGTGTTTCCTGATGTCTTAAGTTTATTCCGGGGCAATTGCACAAAAATATGTATAATCAGACCTGCTAGTTTTCCACTTGACCTGTCATGGAAATCGGAAGGGTAAGTCAAGAAATATGCTCCTTAACAATTGAGTGTCAAACTTTGTCAATGTGGTGTTCATTGTTTGCGTATGAATTTAAAAAGAAGGAACTTCTCATTTTATGTTCTTGAACAATATATATTTGTTTGACCATATCTCTTATTCTTGCAGATTAAAAACCTGTTGTAGAGAGAAATTACATTTCTCAAAGTCGTCTTGACTCACCTTTTTTTTTACTTGCCTTGACATCTGATGCCTGAACATTTAAGGAGCAAACCCTACAATTTCTCTTTTGAACATAAAATGCAGTTGAAAACAGATAATTTACAGTGGAAAAAAGAAAAACATACATTACCATTGCTTTTTTTTTAACCAAAGATTTGTAGTTTGCCAAATGCTAGAATTTTCATTTTAAACTTTTTAATCAATTAATTCAAATCAGAAGTTTGTACATTGCAATTTGGGAAGGCTCTCTTTGTGATGTTATGGCTTTATAAGTTTGTGTAAGGTTAACTCAAGATATACGAGTTAAACGCCGGCAGACATGCAGATGCACTGCTATATGACATCACTGGAAAATGAAAACAAATCAGCCAAAATATCAGATGGAGAATCACAAGCCTCCACAAGTCTGGGTCATTCTTTGGAACGGTTTCTAAATGCCTGAAGGTTTCACTTTCATTCAAGCAAGTTTACACAACTATAAACAGCTTGGTAAAATTTCCACTATCATATATTTCAGAACGTATGTTGGTTCTGTGTCCTAAACATTAATGTGTTTGGGTGATGAATTTATCAACCTGAGCATAAAATCAAAATACATGTGAAGATGTAGGTCAAAGCTGATAAGTTTGATTATTTACAGTGAAACGAATCCTGTGTTTGTAGGGGCTGAAAGGCCACTCAAAGAAAGAAAAAAACCATTTCTGAAAGCAAATTTGCTCAGGTACGAAGATCATACATTTTGGAAACATGTCCTTTGATGTGATGAAACAAAAGCGTTTGATCATATCATCAGTTGTTGCGTAATGAGGAAAACAGGGAAGCTTGCAAACCTCTGAACGCCATCCAAACTGAAGAATAGGGACGGAACGTGACGGCATCACTGTGTCACCGTTTTGCTCCTGAGAAGCTGATGCGCTTCTCAGAATGGATGGCGCCATGAGGAACAAACATTAAGATGAAATATTGAAGCAACATTTCGGGAAGTGAAAACCTAGACACAAAGGAGTCTTCCCAGTGAGTCATGACTGCAAGTTCACCACCCAATCAATTACAAATTAACTTTATGATCAAAAAAGGAAACGTACGTAAACTCTTGAAGGTGTCTAATTTTTGTGGCTTGTAGCAAATATGAATAATTTAGATTATCCCAACTGACCTAAAGCAGGATCTAATTTCAGGCAAACAGGGGAAACAAAGTTGTCTAATTTTTAATATTGTTTATAAACTAATGTTTTCACATGTACATGAATAAATCCAGTTAACATAAATACTCAGAAGACATTTTTGTTTTATACTTTATTATTTCTTATAACCATTTTTTTCCCCTTTTACATCTAAATCATGAAAAATACCCTGAAATGGGATTGATTGTGTAATTATTGGCTGTCAGAATGAGATTTGACCTCCGGTTTTGTTTGCCGTGTTATGGTGACCTGGCTCTTAAACACACCACACTTATTGATTTGGCTGCATCTTTAATTTGTTTATCCTTTTTTAAACCTTTCCACTGTTCCCACTCAGTACGGTGAGCCCACCTAAATGCCTGTGAGGCAGGCAGAGAGGAAGAGAAGGGGAATTAGTCGCCGTTGCGCAGCATATCCGAGGATGATTCATGTATAAGAGGTGAGTTGTATCTCGTGCTAGTTTCGGCTTTTTCTGCGGTTTGAGTGTTTAGTCTACGTGTATCTGATTTGCTCTGTGATTTAGCCAGCGACTGTGTGTTTGTTGGGTAATAATTTAGCAGGAAATAGACTGGTGATACTCGCAGAGTGCTCGATATCAGCTAAATGAGGGGTGAATATTCAGACACACACACAAACACACACTTTGGGAGTTGCATTCAATCTGGAATCCAGCTGTAAGGAATAAAGAGCTTTTCAGTCTAAGACAAAGGTAAATTAGAAATAGCTGTGGGGGAGGAGGAAAGGACAAGGAAGTTGTTTAGGAATCACTATTTTTATTTTTCCTCTCTCCCACTTGCTTTCCCTCACTCTCACACTTTAGTAGAGATCTATTAGAGTAAAAAAAAAAAAAATACAGTGAAAAAATAAAGTGAGATTGGGAGGAGTCTTTTCTAGCTGTATTTTTTTTTTCTTTTTGTTCCTTTGGAGCTTGAGAGCAGAAGCTTCAAGCACACAGAGGAGAAGCAGTTATTGGTCCATCCAAGTTGTTTGACAGGACTTATTGGGAAAGACGAGACCCAGAGAGAGGGAGAGCAGCACTACGCTCTCCCACACAGCAAATGGGAGAGCAAGTCTAAATCATGTTGCTTATCACTGCTGCTGTGCTGTGATGTTGCTCAGGCAGAACCCGGTGCAGAGCAAGCAGGAGTTCGGACCAGCACTCAGACCCAGGATAAGCCCAGCCTCCTCAGAGCTGGAGACCCTCTCCTCACCACGTCTCCCACCCTCACCCCGTGCCCCCCTCAGTGACATGTACCCTGAAGAGAGCCGGGGCTCCGGAGGGGTAGCTGCTGTTGACTTCCTGGAAGGGACGTACGACTATGCCACCCCCACCCCTGCCCCAACGCCTCTTTACAGCCACTCTACCACTGGCTACTTCTCTGCTCCTCTGGACACCCAGGGACCACCGTCTGATGGCAGCCTGCACTCTCTGGGGAGTGGGCCGACCAGTCCTCTTGTGTTTGTGCCCACCAGCCCGAGGCTCAGCCCCTTTATGCATCCTCCAAGCCACCACTATCTGGAAACCGCCTCAACGCCAGCTTACAGGTATGGGAATTAAAAATGCTTCTCTGTGTCTTTAAAACAGTAAAATTGATGCGTTTAAGTAATTATGTTTTTGTTTTTTTTGTGACTATAGTGCCTTTTACAGTGCTTTGATTTCTAAGATTATGCACAAGTTTGGAGAAAGTGTAGCTGATTTTCACATTTAGAAAATAGGCTGGTTGGTTTATTTTCAGTTTTTATACACTTTGGTCCCGTTTTGCTACCTATGTGCAATCACTGCTCATTGAAGTAAAAAAGAAAAAAAAACAAAAAAGAAATGGAACAAAGGATTTGCAATTTATGAGTAATGACATTGGCATTTTTAGTTGCATCTTCTCCAAAATGCCATTTAAACAAACATAATTAGTTAACCACACAGCTTCTTAATCTGCTGCTTTCAGCCAAACACCACCGCTATCTCTACAGAAAGTATCAAGCGTTGTCCGGGGTTTCTAATTCCAGAGATTAGGGACGTTGTGAAGGACCTTGAGAGAGGAACAATATGTAAGAGCAACAGAAGTACACAAACACGTTTCCTGATTTAAGTGGAAAACAGAAGCCTGGTCTTAGCCTCTGTCATTATTTAAGCCAGAGTTCAATTCAATCTTTTATTGTTTTTTAAGGGTTTAAATACAGAAAATAATTTTATCTCACATCCTTGATATATTTAATGTGTTTCACTCTTTGGCTAAATGCTGATAAAATCTGTTATCTGTGTAGTTTCACTGGCGTCACAAACTGTCTCGATGAGAACACCAAATCGCCAAATTAAAATTCACGGCCTGTTGCAGATCCAGTCACCAGCCGGCCTCCAGAGAGGACCAGTGTGACGCCCGTGACGAGGCATGCAGTGTGGGAGAGCTGGGAGCCGGAGTCGGAGTCGGAGTCGGAGTCGGAGTCGGAGCCGGGGGGTTTGAGATGGCTAAAGAGACACGTTTCTGTGCTGTGTGCAGCGACTATGCCTCCGGGTACCACTACGGGGTGTGGTCCTGCGAGGGCTGCAAGGCCTTCTTCAAGAGGAGCATTCAGGGTAGGGAGACAGACCGCCGTGACATTATGAAGCTTAAATCATGTGTTTTATTACATCTGTCATTGAGAACAGCTACATGAAAGAACTCATCAGACCACAATTATGAATGTG